TCCTCTTATTTGTGATATTAAAGAAAATCCTTCAAAGTCTCATGATACTTCCAAGTTTGAATTCAAGAACAATCTACTATATTTCGAGGGACGCCTATATGTTCTAAAAGGTAAAACTCGATTACGTGTTCTTCAAGCTCGTCATGACTTTCCAGCAGTAGGACATTTTGGATACAATAAGACTTTGGAACTAATATCCAGGGACTTTTGGTGGCTACAAATGTGGAAAGCAGTCAAAGATTTTGTATAATCTTGTGATGTTTGCTCGAGATCAAAAACTCCTCGTCATCGACCTTATGGTCTTCTTTAGCCATTACCCATTCTAGAACAACCATGGTCTTATGTTTCTATAGATTTCATCATGGATCTTCCAATCACACGTTCTTATGACTCTATATTTGTGATAGTAGATCATTTTATAAAGATGACACATTTTATACCATGTACAAAATCTATCAGAGGTGAAGAAAGAGCTAAGCTCTTTCTTGACAATATCTATCGCTATTATGGATTATCGAAGGATATTATATCACATATGGGAACTCAATTTGTATCAAGATTTTATCGAATTTTTTTCAAGATTCTAAAAGTGGATATAAAACTATCTTTGGCATTCCATCCTCAAACTGATAGATAAATGGAGCGTGTCAATCCAATTTTGGAGTAGTATTTAAGATGTACCATTAATTACCAACAAAATGATTGGACAACTCTTTTGTCATTGAAAGAGTTTGCTTACAATAATACGGTACATTCTTCTATAAAACAAACACCTTTCTTTGCCAATTATGGTTATCATCCACGACTTGATAATTTTGACTTTTCAAAAGTTGATAATCCTGCTACAAAAGATTTGGTAATTCTTTTGTCAAAGCTACATGCAACGATGAAGGGGCAGTTAAAAGAAGCTCAAGAACAAAAGATCAATGCGGATGTCTATGGAAAAGAACAATCACTATTCTACATGGGTGATAAGATATGGTTATTTTGATGTAATATCAAGACTACTCGTCCTTGTGATAAGTTGGACTATCGAAGGCTTGGACCATTTTCTATTTCTGCACAAATCAATCCAGTTGCATCTTATTTATATCTACCGGAGTCAATAAAAATCCATCCAGTATTCCACGTGTCTCTTCTTGAACCATATAAGATAGTGAACATACCAAGAAGAAGACAAGCTCTACTTCTTCCTATAAAAGTAGACAATAATGAAGAGTTTGAAGTAAAAGAAGTCTTAGATTCAAGGCAGTGCAAAAATAAATTAGAATATCTTGTCCATTGACTCGGATATGATATTAATGAATGCACATGGGAGCCAGTAAAGAACCTTGTAAATACAACAAAGGTAGTGGAGGCTTTTCATCGACGACATATATCAAAATCAAGATAAAAACCTTCTTTATAAAATAAATAAAATCTAAGCAAGATAACATTCTACTTTCAATCCTTGTTTATAACTTCTTTGTAGTTATGACGATGAGGAGGTGGAGAACCAATAACCAATGGATTTGACTCAAGAGCCTTCATTTGTTGATCTACCAAATGAGATATTATAATTGTCACAACCTTCAAGACGATGCAATCGAGATGAAGATCTTCAAGAACGACATGTTCTTCCTCGAATAGATGGCGAGATACAACACGTTTGATATCAGGACCTTGAAAGGGACTCCTGATGTTTCGTGATTTTACTAGAGGTAGGAACAAGTCTTGACGGTGTTCCAAATATTTTATTCAAAGAAAGTTATGAAGGCCTCAACAATGATCAAATAATTGAGTGGTCTTCTCGCCCTGATATGAGACACTACCAATGATTGAGAGGCCCTATCAATCATCTTTGAAGAGAACAAAGAGCAGAGTATGTGGCAAATATAATTCGTTGTATCATAGATTTCTTCAACGTATGATGACCACTCTTTGTGGAACTCGTCCCTAGAAACGGTGGTAATATCATGGATATACGCATGTAAGCCAGTAATTACATGTATAAATAAGTAGAAGTAAATAAAAGTAGATAAAAATAAATTAATTCTATAATATTTACTATGGAAGCTTCCTAGAAGCTTTATAGAAGCTACTTTGACTTTATAGGTGTCTTTAATTGACTTTTTGGATTAGAAACGTGGTCAACAAGTGGGCCATATGCCACACATGTTGTTAGCTTGAAGACCAAGATAACTATGTGGCCCACACGTAGAAAAACTTGCCTTGTAAGTCAAGGCATGTGTCATACAAAGTCAACACATATTGGAGGTCCAATAGAACATCGCCACATAGCCCATATTTAGATAGTATATATAGAGACACGAGTGAAGCCTTCTTCACTCTTGTCAGCTTGTTTCTTGCTTCCAATCTAGTTAGAAGGGTCTCTAGTTTTCTTGGCTTTTGGTAATAGCCATTCCAATTTCTTTCTTAATATACATATTAAGTTATTTCTATTTTGTCATCTTTCTTTGAGAGAAGTCTCACTTGTTTATTTGTTTTTATCATGTTCATGTCCTTAACATGATGTTCTCAAATTCTTTACAATGTAAATAGAGTTTATAAGATTCTTCAATCTATAAATTACAATTTACTTTTTAGTTTTTAGTTTTCTATTGATTTCTTCAAATTTGACTATGTATATTTATATCTGAAGTACAGTTCAGAGATGATGTCTTAATTTGTACAATGAGCTTATTTCCATATAAATTTTCATGTTATGATAAATTTACATATTTAAAATATAACTGTTACATAAAATTTATTTTATTTTTGAAATTCTATATTCTCATTGTGGCGATAGATTCTTTTGAGCTATACAAAGTTTTTAGAATTTTGTATACTGAAGATGACAATTACAATGCTTAGCATTGAAGCTGCACATTTTTTTTTTTTAATAAATAATTAGATTTTTGAAGAATTCACGAACCAAAGAATATAATATATTGTAAGAATTTTATCTTTAAATCTGCTAGGATTAAATAGATTTTTGATCAAAAATCAAAAGTCTTAATTTGGCTAAGTAATATAAACTTCACCAAAATCATTTTGTAATATAAAGAATTTAATATTAATTTTTAATCTTTAGAGATTATGCTAAGAATAAATAGAAATAACACTCCTGAATACTCCATTTGCATTACACATTTGGTTAATGAAGGGAAAGTACAGCAGAGGATTTTGCTGAGCACTAGAGGCTCTTATAATTATCTACAAACTGCAAAGAAATGCCCACTTGCAAAGAGCATCATTGAATAAAAATTAAAATCAAAAACTAAAAAATATAATTTAATCATGACAATACTGAAAAACAATCAAGCTTTAAAATAATAGATCGTGTACATTCTAACATGATTATCGAAAGTTATATAAATAGCCTATTAAGTCATATCTTTGTGGAGTGCCATAACTACAAAGCTACATTTTTTTCTGACATAGAACGTGTGAAAAGATTTTAAAGTTTTACTTTGATTTACATTTTATCAAATATTTGACTTGGCCCTACTAAAAGCACTTCACTCACTGGAAATTATCACTACTTCATAGTTCTTAGATTGATTTAGTATTTTAATTCACAATGTTTTATTAATGTTATTAGAATCTAAATTTATAATTTATAATAACATGATAAAATTTTGAAGCTTATCAGACTGAAAAACGCCAATTGGTTTAATAGACGTCCATTGACTCATTGATTTTTTTCACTTTGTATTAGTATTCTATATTTAAAACACTTATCATACATATGTACATATGCACACACACACACACATTTATTTATATATATATACACACACACACATTTATTTCTATATATATACACACACACACACATTTATTTCTATATATATACACACACACACACATTTATTTCTATATATATACACACACACATTTATTTCTATATATATACACACACACACATATATATATATATATATATATATATATATATTTCTTTTAATTAAATTTTTATGGTATTTCAAAATAAATCCACCTAATTGCCCAAACTTATACTTCTAAAAGTTTTTCCTATTTATTGGTGCAATATGTATAAATACTGAGGTATTTAAGAATTACAATAGAAAACAATAAAATAAATCCATAAATGTATTGGACTGATATTTAAGTGTTTGCTAATGTATTTGATGGTTGTGCAAAATAGTTCTTTAGCCATTCAATGACTCTTTACTACATTGTGTACGTTGTGCCCATTGTTTAGAAACTCTTGAATCAGGACAACTCTTCCTCTGTGGGTAACCAGTTTTAAATTTTAACATGTTTGTTTAATAAAAGTCCAATACATATATATATATATATATATATATATATATATTCTGGAATTTTTAGAATAATGTAAATTAAAGAATAAACAACAATTATCTAAAATCACTATTTCAAATTGTACTTTTAAATACAAGTGTATAGAAAAACTAATTAATCACACTCACAAACCTTTATAATTACTTTGTTACTTCTAAACACCCCACTTTCAAACACATTTTCTTGGAAACTAAAAAAAACTCAGTGAAACTCTGATAATCACAACCACTTACAATTCTAAATCAAATGGGAAGTGCACACGTGGTAAGAACAAACAGATTGCACCTTAACGTGGAAGATCATTTCTCTCAAAAATAATAAAAAAATAAAAAAATAAAAACCCTTGAATTCTTCCTCACAATATCAATCCAAATGGCACTAAACGAGTCACGACCTCCTGGAACTAAGCGTCAAAGTAATACATGGTCAAAAGGTGCAGTAAAAGCATATTCTGCCAGCGCCACAGCCGCCCTCTATTACCTCAGCGTAACAGACGTGGCATCTAACGAAACCCATGTTTAGTGAAGGAATCGGTCAGAGGATGGAATCCCCGCTGCGCGAGTAGAGCCGTCGCCGCGCCAGATGGGTGACGATCGCGCGCGCGAGGCCAAGCCGCGCCGTGACGCGATGGTCAGCGATGAGGCGGTGGAAGGAGCACCGCCACGGGGGGAGAGACCAGGCAGGTGATGATGCTTGCGGCTTGCGGCGCAAGGAATCATCTGCAGCGAGGATGACGATGAGGAGCTGGTGCTGTGTGGACAGACTGCACCAATTGACGTAGTCGCCGATCCGCATCCAAGACCCGGCTCTCTCATCGCGGACGGAGCCGCGCACACCGAGACTGTAGTTTACTACTCCGCAGTAGCAGCAGCAGCAGACCAGTCACGCCGCTCCAAAGCGGGGAAAGATTCGGCCGACGATCTGGGGGACCGAGATCATCCCCGCCCCACGACGTCTGGTCCGCAGCGGATGCGTGCAGAGCCTGGAAGCTGCTGGAAAATTATGGCGATGAGCTCCAATCAGGAACTTCGTGGCCAGGGTTTTGTTGAATCCTGAGAGAGAGAGAGAGAGAGAGAGAGAGCAGGTGCCTGCTTTGAAAGTCGATGATTCTGTCTCTACGCCGAGGCCTCCTGCTTCACCACCGGTAGTCGTTGTACTAGGTGGCTAGGCCGGGGGTGTGTCGGGAGATCTATCAAGCGTAGCGTAAGCAGCAAGGTTTGTGGGTAACCTCACATGTCGGGCACACGGAAAAGAAGAAAGACTTTTTTTCGAGGAAAAGCCGATGTGCATTGTGGCGGTTTTCTCAGTGCAGGGTGGGAGAGTTCATGTCGGTGGTGATTAAGGAGATGGAGAAGAAGCTGAGCTCTTGATTGAATCCTGTACCTAGTTCAATTCTAGTTCGATGTGGCGGATGGGGTGTTCTTGCTAGCCGAGTGTCAAAATTTGACTGAGAATTTCGGAATGTGGACTGATTAGTGGGGTTTGTGTGTTGCGTGGCGCTAAATTGGTCGAGCAGTTGGTGGTTTCGGCGTTTTTGAGGTTCAGAGAGAGAGAGAGAGAGGCCTGGTGTTTGGTTAGATTAGAAGCGGAATGTGAGCTTGATGGTGATGGCGACTGAAGCAAGGCTTACGTGCAGATTGCACACGGACTCGCCCTTAGTGCACCATATCGTGCCTCCGTATGAGCATCCCGAATTTATATGCGATCTGTGCTTTAAGATTGGGGAAGGACCAACTTATCATTGCAAGACGTGCAAGTATGATCTTCATCCCGTGTGTTGTACCTTGCAGCCCACGCTGCGGAGCTGCCTGCATCCGGAGCACCCCCTGACGCTCATGCCGAAGAACCACCATGCTAGTTCTAGAAAGAAATGCGACGGGTGTAGGAATGCATTGGCGGATGGGGAGTGGAGCTACCGGTGTGAGAGTTGCAACTTCGATGTGCACGCTTTGTGCGCGAAGCTGCGGGAGAAGATTGTAACCTCGTTTCATCACTACCCTCTCAAGTTGCTGAAGAAGTCGCCATATCCGGCGCGGCATTTGCAGTGTGATCTCTGCGGCGAAAGAATGCCCACGCAAGGGTGCGTATACCATTGCACGAATTGCAAATTTGATTTGCATCCGGCTTGTGCTTTGATGCCTCGCGACCCACTATGCTCCGCGCATCCGCACCGGCTCAGGACGCGGTGGTACCGAACTTACCAAGGGAAGAGTTACGTCTGCGACGTGTGTCTCGAGTTTGGCGGAGAACTCGGCTTCCATTGCGAGAAGTGCAACTTCAACATCCACCCCAAGTGCCTCAACAATTTTTTTGGTCCAGACTCCTCAGGTATCTTCCCTCTATTTCGCTTGCTCCCAATCTGGAATTAATTCTCGCAGTTCAAATGTGGACATGACCTCGACGAGAACATGGAAGTTTAGATGTGAAAATTGTGAAACAACGCATACCTAGTAGGCACAAGGATGAATGCTACTGGCTTCAGCTGCAACATCATGCCACGAAGTCGAATTCCGTATGCGTACGCTCCGTATGAGCAATCACATGAATTTTGAACCAATTTTAGTGCGATGTTTGATTTAGCGGATGCTTGAGTGCTTTACAAGGGTCTAGGCATCTAGAAGTGCTGTCGAAGTGAGGCAGCAACCGAACAGCGCGACCAAAGGTTTCGTAACCTAGCTGAGTACCCAAGTTCTTTAGTAGCTCAAGACTTACAGGACACTTATAGTAACATGTTTGAGATGATCATCTACCATTCCTGACTCACGCCCTACTTTTGTTTTGGACAGATATTGCGGAGGGAGAAACCTCAGGATCTGTACATGACTGTACAAGTGCTCCGAAGTACAAAAATACCGCTTACGGGGTGCACATAATTCGCAAAGATGTGGACATAAAACGCGACTCTGCGTAAGCTGATTCTAATCCGTAGCAGGTTTCGAAGCGTGATTTGAGCCAGAGAGTTAACCCTTCCAGACTGAGCACGCTCTTGTCAGGGTCACGGTAGTGAAGTGGAGGACGCACGATCCTTTTCCGCACTCCTCGATGACCCTAGATATGGCAAACGATTCTCGCGTGGCACAACGGAGACTGCGAGCCAGGCCCTCCGAAAGAAGGATCCTTCCAACGGCTTAGTTTAGTTCATGGCAATGAAGCTCCCCATAGGTCTGTCCCAGTGCACATATTACACCCTTGATGTACAGAAACACAGTGGGTTGATTGCTCGCTGCAAGAGTTCTTGCATTGACATTAACACTGATAATTTTGGGTTACTGATCGACGAGCCCCTTAAACACGAGAGACAACATTGGCGACGATGCAGAATCAGGTCTCGTTATTCCATTGTAGCGAGAGAGAGTGCGAGTGAGAGAGATAGCGAGAGCAAGCGAGAGATGTAAGAATTAGTGAATCAACTTAGACACGTAGTGATGAGGAAGGACAACGCCCTCATCACCGATCTTATTGTGATACAAGAATGGTCGGTGTGCGTCGCTTGAGGCCCAACGCACACCAAGGCAAGATCTTCCACAGCCCTGTAACTTACTCCATAGCTTTTCTTCTTCTTCTTCTTCTTCTTCTTCATCTGGGTACAGTGCGAGAGAGGAGCTGCAACATTTGGATGCCATTGACAGAGTCACTTCACATGGTGGCAACTTCTTGGCATTCGGAGACCTCTACTCTCTTTCCTTGACTCTTTCATTGTGAATATTGTCTTTCGGTTCAAATCCGACAGTTTGAGAGATCTTTTGGAGTGTTGTTCCATGTAAAGTGGGCTGGGCATGTCTCAACCATGGCATATTTTAGGTGTTAAATAATTCCTCTTTACGTATTAAAATTCTTTTTCTTTTACAAGCTGCTATGTGTGCACATATTTCTACTCGTCTTGTTTTCTCCTGTTGCTCCACTTATCTCAAGGTTAAGATGACTTTGGTAAAAATCACGTCTATGTTAAGTAAATATTTCTATTTGTGGGACACTTAAAAACCAATGTGAGAAACAGTATGAAGAATTTTATAACCGTCCACTATGTGTTGATCCTGTACCTAAAAAAAAGTTCTTACTGCATTTATAAGTAGTCTGAAATAAGAAGCCACTTGGAATGACGCAAGTGCTATAAGTTTGCCTACGGATAAGCCTTGGTGGAGACTTTGACGCAGCACGCATATCTGATGTGTGAGCTGATAAGTCGTGTGCAGTGAAGGCTACTCCTGGTGTGCAGCACCACAACTGGTCGCCAACATCGTAGGATTTGGAAATGAAGGCTGGAACTGGGGTAAAATTGTAGAAATTACCGGCGCCAACAGCATCTGATTCCTACGCTATTGATCATTACGTCATTGGGGAACGGTTTTAGGTTCCCAATACAAACAAGTATTCTGCCACTACTCATTGATTGGTTTATGGATCTTGAAAAGAACTCAAAAGTTCGTGTTGTCCTTCACTGATCACTGGTTGAGTGGAAGATTTTTTATGGATTTGATCACTGTTTAAGTTTTGGAAAATGAGTTTTGTCTCAATGGAACATGACCTTCTGCAACTTTCTCTTCAATCAAGGGACTAGGTATGGGTTCCAGGATTGATCTCAAAATCTGTTCAAATACTGCACACTTACTTCAATAGATTGCTTCATGCACACTGAAATCTGTAAAAGATATCACTCGGACTATTTGGACAATCTGTATTAATATTTTAAACTTTACATCACGAACAATTCAAAGAGTATTACTGTATTAATACGGAGCGTTTAAGAAATAGTTCAGATGTTGAAACAACATTTGAAACTACAACTCGTTCCACACAATTTGTCGAATTTATCAGTCACCGGCATTGCGAAGTAAGATCAATGTAGTTGTATCGGTAGTGGAAACAGTGGGGTTGTTTTTATTTTAGAATTGGTATACCACTATGGTATGCACTATGAACCTTTGTCCATCTTAACATTTGTAGATGATTGAATGGCTGACTAAGCAAGGGTATGATCCATGCGTGAAAAAACTTCTCACGCACAAGACCGAGAGGGTATGAGAATTTGCTAAATGCATTGGAGAAACTACTTCCAGTCCTGCAATCTCCACTAATGAGGTTTGTGTGATGTGACTTTACCTCAGCACTTCGTTACTGGAGATTTGACCAACATTCCCATACACAGCAAATGAATACTACAGAGTTTTGGTTAAATAGTGTGTTAAAACCCTTTTCAAACCACTCCGCCATGCTTTAAACTAGCTTCAGTGCCATAAACTAGCAAAGACGGATGCTACGGTATCAGTTCAGAGGGTAGGCTCATGTATAGACATGAGACTTTCTAGCTTCCCTTCAAAATGCGAAATCGCAACCTCACTGTTAAAGTAACAGAAAATGTCGGGAATGAACAATCGGAGGATTATGGGAGATTGCTGATTTCCAACTGTTCAAATGCTCCGTGCCAAGTTTCACTGCCAAGTGACTTAAAAACTTTTTACTTGATCTAACGTGGTCACAACATGAGCAAAGAGGATTGGAACATCGAACTTATCACGCTACACTCATGAAGTAGGCTGACTCAACACAGGACCCCATCCTTCAGGCGGCCATATCTGCAACACAAAACCACATAATTAACCATCAGATCGGAGTACGCCATTGCAGAATAAGACAGTTTTCTGTGCATAATCCAATACAAAACCAAGAGTAGATTTGTTTCTGAGGCTAAAAGCTCACATCAGTTTTAATCAGACAAACCAAAGGCCTCCAGGACATAGACCAAACTAGAGAGACGTTGATTAATGACGATTACTGCACCAAGTTAGCGATCAATTTACAATCTGCAGAAGAAAGATTGTGCACGATTTGAGCTGTCAAAGCAGAGGAGAAAAAATCGGATATCTAGACCAGGTAAAAACAAGTATGGGCACCAGTGATGTTCATAAATTTGCATAACCAAATAGATAGTAAATAGCACAATAGCTAACACGCACTATAGCAAAACGATGATATGCATGGGCAAGGAGCTCCTCACTCTGTAGAACACTTTTCCTTGAATGAGGGCGTATGGCACAGGACCATAATGCCTTGAGTCAGTGGAGTTATAAGCGTTATCGCCTTGCAACCACACATGGCCCTTGGGTACCTGCATCATGAAGAAGTGTCACGATTCTATTGTACGTACGTACTCATGACGACACACGTTGGTTTCTTCCCAGAGAGAGAAACATATGAAAATTATGCAAACTCACAACAGGTAAGCGGTCTAAGCAGTGGTAAACTAGAGCACTAAGACAAGCAAGGAACCTATTATCCATCAAGAGAGAGAGACAGGCACATTGTAAGGAAAAGGCAAAGGATGGAAATCAAACCACAGTTTGACGGATGTGGCCTCTACTAGAAGTTGGAAGAACAGTAACAGAATCTCCTTCTAAACCGAGTACCCGCTTGCAGACAACCAGCCGTGGATTTGCAGGAGATCGGGCCATGACCACATCGCCTGGCTTGATTCTTTCGAACCTAGAGGATAAGTGCTCCAACAGCAATATGTCCCCCGAAACATTGAAGGTTGGAAGCATGCTTGGCCCTAAACACTGACAAATACAAGAGGAATATAATAAGCATTGGAGTCAACAGAAAAAACTGCCGAAACCATGAAACGTACATCAAATAAGGTATCACTAATAGCTGGCTTTTCCTTGGAGAAACCCGGGTATTTTACATTCAGCGTAATGATCAGGGACATCAGATAGAGCTCGAAGGCCATTGAAGGATCGTACCTGGTGCACCTCAACCACATGGTTGGAGAAGACATTCAAGAAGCAGATAAACTGGGTGAACACCACGGACCTCTCAAAAGCCTCCTGCAAAAGGGCTCTCCACGACATGCTGTTCGTTGATAAAAAGATTCTACACTGGTATCCCGCGGTGCTTGATACAGTGCACCTATCACACACTTTCTTGCATACTTCTGCACAAACAAGAGCGACGGATTACTAGTGAATGTTTCAAACAAGTTCTACTTGACATAGCAACTATTGGCATCACCAGCAGACGCTTGCCCTATCTTTAGTGCGCCACTATGCTATTAAATCCTAGACCATAGCAGCTACAGATTTTCGCCAGCATATGTATACACACTCCAAATGACAATCTATCATCTAAACAAATTTCGAATTTCACTAGCAGAATGTCCTTCATCCCAATTCCTGCAGACGGAGTCTAAAAGTATCCTCGCGAAACATCATATCAAACTCGGATAGCTACCCCATATATATAAAAAAAAACAAAACAAAACAAAACAAAACAAAAATACAAAAAAAAAAAAAAAAAAAGCCCAATTTCGAGGAATTACGCGTGCTCTGAGGAAAACGAGATCCACCCGTCGTCACTGCCCCACATCAGCTCTTCCTTCTCGTAAATGTAACACACTCACACCTTCAAAGGAAAAACACAGAAAAAACAAAAATCCCCGCCAACTCCGCTGGCGAAAATCTGTAGCTGCTATGGTCTAGCACTCCAAAGACTCTTTTGCAGCAAAATTGCCTGCAGCACGAACCTCGCTTCAGCTAAGAATCTGTCCTGAGTGAAACCATCTCCGCTTAGCCTCGCAGCGCAGGCAGCCAGCAACGCGCACCGATGCCGTAGGTCACAGTCATCGCAGCTCCAGCAACTTCAGTAATCCTGCAATGCGGCAGATGGGTTCCTCGTAAAACTGGGTGAGCTACACTTGGCACCGCTCCTGCACCCAGCGACATGTATATTCGAATCCTGAGCTCCCGAAGATCGCCGTAGCTAATCTGCGAAGAGCCTTCTGCGCTCGCAGCTCGAAATTAGGGTTTACAGGATTCGAAGCTCTTGTAATACTCTCTGCTGACAAGAGCACCTAAGTCCGCGCACGGCCTTTCGCTTCGATCACTTAGCCTTGAGGTTTTGCTGTTGTAAAAAGGATACAGAAAATAATTGTACTCCAATTTGATGATTTTTATTTTGAGCAAAATATAAAGAAGTTTAAAAGTATCTTAATAATATTTTTCATAAAATTCTGCATGCATTGCTTTCACATGCGTGCCGACAGAAATTCCACTGTAAATGTTTTTTTTTTTTTTTTTTTTTTTTTTTGTGAAAATAATGTAGCTATTGGTTCCCATGTGGTGTATGTTATATATATATATATATATATATATAGATACTGTCTTTAAAATTCAAGTGTGTTGTGCTTCAAAGCCATCAATGAATAGATTTACTTATTTATTATTTTTTAATATTATGTATTTTTATGGCCTTCAATTTCTGTAGAGGATATTGACATTAATTCAAAGTATCTTTATACTATATTGAAGTGCAAATTATAATGTGTAATTACTATAATGCATGAACTTTTACAATACATCTTTTTAATTTTATTAAAAAATAATTTCTGAAAATGATAATTCAATAATTATGATTATCATTTCAAATTTTTATTATGTTTTTGATATCATTCATATTTTTGAAAATAATTTAATGAGTTTTTGGAATTTCCATAAATCTTGTGTACATAAACAACAATTACTTCTACAAACTTAGACAAAAAACTCCCATGTGAAACTTTTGGAAAAAAGAAAAAAAAAAAAAAAAAAAAAAAAAAAAAGGAAAAAAAAAAAAAAGGACTAAAACATTGCATAATTTTATTTGATAAGTTCTTAGACCTATGATTAGAAATATAAGTAGTGGCATATATAAAGATATTTTTAATATTATGAATATTTTATTTTGATTATGAATTATCTATACTAATTTTTTAAATTGTATTTTAATATGAATATCTAATCATATTCTCTTAGCTTAATACTATTTTTATTTTATTATTAATAGAGTGTATTAAACTTTAAGAGAAAAATATGAGCTTGACAAATTTTATTTACTAAAAAACTATATTTTATTTTAATTTATCGAACTTTGATGTGGAATTTGAAATCTCCCAATTCAAATAAATAGATATTGCTAATATTTGTAGCTATTTTGATGAAAATTAATGGATTTTACAATCTACAAATCTGTAGATTTGATAAATATATTTTTTTGCTTAAAAAATAATACATATATGTACAGTTATATATATATTTGAAATGATAATCATAAAAATTAAATTAAAATCATAGTTATAGAGATATTGTTAATTTAACTGTACACACATATATATATATATATATATATATAGATATATGTATATATATAACTGTACATATATGTATTATTTTTTAAGCAAAAAAATATATTTATCAAATCTAAACATTTGTAGATTGTAAAATCCATTAATTTTCATCAAAATAGCTACAACTATTAACAATATCTATTTATTTGAATTGGGAGATTTCAAATTCCACATCATATATATATATGTTATATGATGTTTATATGTTGTATGATATATATATGTTATATATATATATATATATATATATATATATCTGTTTACGTATTAAATCACTTTATAAATGATTACAACAATATTTTTTAGTAATTTACTGAAGCACACTATTAAAACTATAATTATAACTTTGTGTAATTATAGTTTGTTTTTTGTATACTAATTGTTATCTTAATTTTTTATTTATTTGTAAAACAATTCAATTCAATTAAATAAAATATATTATCAATATAATATGCATGTTTAATACTTGTTACATTCTAATGATATGTAATAAACACTGAATTTATATTATAAGTATATGTTTTTTAATAAGAATTAGCATTTTGATTTTAACTTTGAATATTATAAGAACACAAATTAAAAGAACAACAGAGAAAATATCCATAATAATAAACCTATATAATTTAACAACAAACTATTAGATATATTTAATTAGTTTTGTTTTTTACATTTTAATCCATTATTTTGTTTTGGTTTAAATACCACAAGTAAGACCACATTTACAAATCTTAATAAAGACTATTGAAGCTAAATCAAAACCTTATCAATTTTTTACAAAATTTCTTATAAAATTCTATAATTAAGTATTGGTCAAGATAGCAATACAAATTCATTTTATAGGAAGTAATCTATGTTTTATTAGAATGAATTTAGTAGGATATATATATATATATATATATATATATATATATATATATATATAAAATAGACAAGATATAATTTTATTTTTTTAGAAAAAATATTTATTTATAGAGATGAAGGAAGGAAGAGAGGATTTAAAAATATAATGATGCATTTATTCAAATAAGATAGAGCATTAAATACAAGGTGGAATAATTTTATTTCTTGGTAATGCTATAGACCTATAAAATTACCAACATGGCAAACTTGGATCACTACATATGCAAAGAAGTAGCCGCAATAAAAAAGAATCATTTAAAAGTAGTGTTGTAGAATTCTACAACTAAAATCAAACTTTATTGCTTCCTTATTTTACCACATGTTTTTAGCCATTAATAAAACACAATATTTTCTACACATCATGTTGTCTTATATAATATTTGAAGTTTTGGAATTAAAACAAACACATTATTTTTTGATTGATGTCCATAACTTTAAAATTAAGAATTTTTTATAAATATATGAGTGTTTTTTTATTCAACCTTAATATAAAACTATATTTTGAAATAAGAAAGTTTTACAAAATAGTTTCTTTTCACCGTAAAATATCAAAACATTTAAAATTTAAAATTTAACAATAATATGATTACTATGTTAATAAATGTTTTGTACATATAATTTATAAATATTCTTATATCTTTACATATCTAGAATTTTGATTTAATCTAAACTATAAACATATTTTAATTTTAAATTTTCATTTTTTTTAAATCGAATAAATTTTATAAATTAAGTTTAAATAAAGAATAATTTTTCCTGGCCCAAATGAAAAAATTATAATTTGGTTTTGTATTTGAACTTAATATTTTCCAAAAACGAATAAAACTTAACAGGAAAAAAAAAAAAAAAAAAAAAAAAAAAAAAACATAACTACAGAACTTAAACACTCCATAAATTTTACATGATCCATTATAAGGTTGATTTCATAGAAGTTATTAATTTTTTATTTTAATTTTAATGTTAGATATTCTATTTACTGCAGCTAGATTAGACATACCAGAACTTGATATAAGTAGATACTAGCAAATATTACCAATTTTTTAAAATATTTATTTTAGCTAGTGTAAATTCCAATATTATTAGAAATTATCAAACAAATTAATACAAATTTTAAAATTATTTTATATTTTTTTATTCGATCAAAAAGATATAAATAAAAAAAGTACTTCATTTTAAAGTTCTATTAGTTATAATTAAAAATAAAGGATGTAGTTTTTTATGAAATATTTTAAAATTTCATTTATAATTTGAATTTATATTAAATAAAATTTAAATTTTATCATTTTTCAAAATAAAAAATCAAAGTTTGTAATTTAAAAATACCAGAAGTAATGCATTTGTATTTTTATTTTATTTTATTAGTAACTATTATTCATGTTTTTTGAACTTTAGTAAATAGTAAGATAAATATTAAAAATTTGAATAGAATAGAAAGAAATAAATCTAAATACAGGTATAATTTTATTTAATTAAAAAATACAATCATATATAAATTTTAAAAAAGTAAAAAACATAAATAAAAAAATTCTAGATAAGGTACATAAAAGAAAAGTTCACACAAAAATTAGTCTGGTTTTCTGTTTATGGTTCCATGCAAGTTTTAAATTATTTTGGCATTTTTTAATTTTTCAATTTATTAGTTCATCATTTATATTTGATTTACCTGAATATATATATATATATATATATATATATATATATATATATAACCTAAATTTAAAAAATTCTAATATCACAGAAGTTTTGTAGAAAAAGAATCCACATATGAAATTAAATTGTGAAGTTAAGATAAAAGACGATAATATTTATTTCTGCCACGGTTTTCTTTTGTTGAATACAACATAATAACAACACAAAATTGTTAGGAAATTAGACTTTTAAAGTAAAATCTTTGATTGGTATTATTCTAGCTTTATTCACTTAGTTTTATGTTTCCAATACATTATAGAAAGATTTTAAAACCTCAATACATTTTCTGTATTTTATATATTAAAAGTTTTAAGTTAAAAATTAAGCCTGTACATGAACTTTTTAATGGAAATTGATCTAATTTTTTTTTACCTTAAAGTATATTAGTAAATTACATATCTATTCTTTTATTGAAAGAAATAAGAATAAAAAAATAGAATATTCTTATTCTACTGATATAAAAATTTAAAGACTATAGTGAAGATTTTAAAGTTTATAAGTTTGTGTGTGTAGAGAAAAAAAATTAAATAATTTCTTAAGATATAATTAATTAAATTAAATGACTTGTTTAATTATAAAGACCATTATTTCTTCAAATTTTAATTCTATATTTTAGACTACTTATAGTTTCATCTTTTATAATTTTTCATTTTAAAGATTAGAGCCATGATAATTTTTTAAAACAAAACAATCATAAAACATATTTATCTATTTATTTTTATTTCATTTCATTTAGATGTTATAAAATAAAATATAAATTAGAATCAAAATTCAATTATACTTTTATGACAATATTTTTGAAGTATATTAGAATGTTTGAAGTAATAATCTTAAAAAATAATAAGCCAGGTGGGTCCAACTAGTCACAAATAAACTCATCACTTTAAAGACAATTATTTATAATTTTTAAACTCAAATTATACTTCTTAATAAAATATTTTTAATATTTTTAATATTTTTTACAAACGAATAATTTTAAAATATTATGATTCTATTAAATGTTAATAAACACAATTTTATTTTATGGTAAGAATAAATAAATTTATTTAATAATTAATAAG